ATCAATGAATCAAATGCATAGCTAACTTTTTAAAAATATTATGAATATAATTACCCCCTTATTTATAGACAGAACAACCACTGTGAGATTATCACAATCATTAGGTTTTTAAATCTTGGTTAAGCCTTCACGTTGAGTCAGAACCACTCTCTTCAACTAACCAATGCTAACCAGTGGGAGTCACCAAATGTCGATGCCAACCCAAGCCCCAACTCTCCCCACTCCAAATCTAATAAAGGTAAATAGGCTTCAAGAAAAATACATGTTGCTTTTTCTCCAACTTGGATTTCCCATGCCAGGCTTCCCTTAGAATGAAGGGGAAAATAAAAGAACTATGTACCCTTAAGACTAAATAAAAGCCATCATAGAAAACCAGTTCCTTAAAAGAAAAAGAATGCAAGATCTGGAGTCAGAAGACCCACATTTGAGTGTTAGTGCCAAAACCTAATTTCGATTCTTACTTAAGTCCCTGAACCCTGCAGAGTCCCCGGTTTTCTCCTCAGTTTAGTAGCTGTCATCACTCACCTGCCTTCCATGGTTGGCCTAAATTACTGGACATCATTTATTTGAATATGTAGTGGTGAGTAAGGTGAGATAATTATATGGATGTGAAAGAAGACTTTCAAGTACACTTTTTGAGTGTTCTGTGTATAGATACTTAATACCCTGTGACACAGCTCTAGACTGTCCCAGGGATTTTTATAAAAGTAAAATAAGAACTCAACATTTTACAAATCACCAGTTCTTACTGCTGTGCTTATGACTCCTTCATGTCTCTTTATGCTACATATGTGACTACTATGATTTTGAGTTTTATATAGGAAGGTATAAGCACTTACAGCTTTTTCTTCCTATATATTTCCTTAGTTACAGAGGCTAAATGACCTTTGGATTTAACTACGCTAAACAGTCCATAGACTACCTCTAAGAGATTTAATTACGAAAGGAAAAAAAAAAAAAAAACCTCATCAGAATAAGAGAAAACAATGTGGCTATCTTTCTCGTGAAACCTCACTGTACAAATACATGACTCTGTACGTCATGCAGTCTTCTCTCCTGAGCTCCAGACTATCTATGTCCAACTTCCTACTTAACATCTTCATTTGGGTAAAAAAAAAAAACCTCATCAGAATAAGAGAAAACAATGTGGCTATCTTTCTCGTGAAACCTCACTGTACAAATACATGACTCTGTACGTCATGCAGTCTTCTCTCCTGAGCTCCAGACTTACATACACAACCACCTAAGAGATATCCCCATTTAGCTATTTCATAGATACACTAAACTCAACATGGCCAAATTGAACTCATCTTCCCTTTCCAGAGCTTCCCTTCCCAAAGGTTTCTTTTCTCAATAAACGGCACTATCATCTTTCCAAATGGTCAGGTCAGTAATATCAATCATCCTTGATTTTTTTTTCTTTCTAATCCTATATTCGCACCTAAGTCTCAAGAACTGCTTATTCTACTTCCTAAATAACTCTCAAAATTGTCTACTTCATATCATTTTGGCTGCCACCACCCTAGCTCAAGCCACCTGATCTCTTACCTGAACTGTCATAATAGCCCCCTTAACTGGTTCTCCATAAGGCAGTCACAATCATTGTGGCACTTTATTTAAAACACCATTGTTTCCAAACTCCTATTTAAAAGAGACTGCAAAGGACACTCATGATCTTTTCTCTACTTCTCTAACCTTGTTCTCCCCTTCCCATATCCTATGATCTAGCCACATGAGTGAAAGACTGCTAATTTTAACCCAATATCTGTTCTTTTCCTCAAGTACTCAGAATTACATTCTGCTTTTTGGCTGAATATATGGCCATGGAATACAAATATCTTCTGACCTCCCCTGCAGCTTAGTGTGGCCATGTGACTGGGCTTGGGCCAATGGGATGTGAGCCATGCCCTTAAGAGAGGAGGAGTGACTCTTTCCTTTTCCCTTTTCTGCTGGCTGGAATGTGGAAAGTGACAGCTGAAGGAATCATTTGAATCACTAAGTGGAAGGTGCCTGTGGAGGATGATGCCACAACAAGATGAATAGAGCCAGGTCTCTGATGACTATGAAACTGGCATATCAACCCTGTACTGCCTACCTGGACTTTTAGATAAGCTTCTTTATTGTTTAAACCACTTTTGCACTGGATTTTCTATCCCCCGAAGCAGTTTTATCTAACCCTAATATATCATACCATTCTTTCAGATTCTCCATTCTCTGACCCTTGAACTCATGTATGCAATACCCTCTGTTTGAAACACAGCTTATATCTTCTGTTCCTTGTCTGTTTTCATCTTCCAAATCTGAGCTGAAATGTTACTTTTCTTAGGTAAGTCTGCCTTGACTTCCTAGCTAAGGTTAAATACTCTTGCTATTTCTTTCCTTACACTTCCCCTTGGATAATACCCACCATACCTATAATTGCTGAGTTAATGTGAGTCTCTTTATAAACTCGCATTACTACATACTCTTTAAGAGCACATGTCTACTTTGTCCACTATCATCCTGTTTGGCACTCAGTATATGCCCCCAAAATATTTGCTGAATGAATTCACTGAAATATTCAATGAATGAATGAACGTAACAGCTCTTGCCTGATTTCTAGACACCTCAAGGACTTCTTGGCCTTACATTACAGGACCCCTTGTAAACTCCACCTATAACTCTATTCCTGTCAGACACACTCACAGTATAAACACTGTCTCTCTCCATTCTCTTTTGGACAATTTTGAAGCTCTTTCTGGCACCGCTTCATTTTCTCATAATATAATTAAGACTAGAATGGAAAGTATTATGGGTATGCTTGTAATTAAAAAAAGAAATGGAGACCCTTCACTAATATGACCAACATTTTCAAGTGTTAAGATGCCTTACGGGTATTTTAAAAAGAAAAATATAAGAAACATATAAACCACATTATCTAAATTCTGGCCATGTACGGGAAAACATCCTTAAAATATTTTAAAAGCCTCTGGTTTTAAAGTGTACATAACTTTTTAATGGCATTACAAATAGCTGTCAGTTTAGTTTTATATACTCACCTTTCTTTGACGCTAAAGATTCTACACGGCTTTACCCATTTTCAAAAAGTAAGCACCTTTTTGTTATAGCTTTATGGAGTTAAAGCAATACAGTCCCAAGAAGGAGGCAATGGGATATAAGACAAACAAAAATCAAGAGATCTGAGTGACAGTCTGTTTTGCCAATGATTCATTCACTGGGTGACCCTGGATCAGTTCTCTTAACTCCAAAATGAAGTATTCAATACAGATAGATAATCCCTTAGATCCATTCCAAGAAATTTTGTTGCCCTATCAAATGGCTGTTAATGACTTAATAGAGACGATGTTAGTAATTACGCCAAAAACTGTTTAATTACAAGAATTCACAGGAAACCTGGTATTTGCCTATCAGTTTTAGGTTCTAAGTGGGTTTGAATGAGTCTAAAATACGGTTCTTCAAACATCTAAAAACAAACGTGTAGTCTGGAAATGCTTTTTGCGTGATGTGAATGGCTTTTAGAATGCGAGCTTTTCCAGCATGTTATTCGCCTCCCGCATACGTTAGGCGCCCACACTGGATTCAGAAGGTGCTCCGCAAAAACTCACTGGTCAATAAAACAGAATGGTTTTCACTGCCACTCCCTTGATCACTACACCTACTTTCCCTGAAACTGCTTTGGAGCCTGATAAGGAAGCTCTAGAGAGCAGCTGATCCAGATTCGTGTAGGCAACTGCACAAATGTCTGTACTAAACAACATACAAAGACACCTTGACTTGTCCAGTACTTAAGAGCAAGGACGGCCTAGTCTAGGCTTTCCACCTTTCTAATAAAGTTTTAAGAGATTCGTAGCCGGCTCCCATTGAGAACAGGCTGAAGCGCCCCAAATAAGACCTGGCCCCACCATGCTCCGATGCTCGGAACCTGCGGACCCTACCGGTTCCTGCCTGGCCTCATCAAAGCCACCGCCCACCTCTTCACGCCCTTGGGGGCGACCGCACTGCCCCCGCCCCGCAGTCGCCAGCCAGTCCTGACCTCCTCGAACTGCTCGCCCGTGCAGCCGGCGCCGCGAGCCTCCAGCAGTTCCCGGAACTGCTCCAGAGTGACAGACTCTTCGCCGCGGCCCAGCCTCTCCTCCAGCCAGCGCAACAGCGCGCCGTGGTGCCTAGACACCAGAGACTCGCAAGGTGGCGCGGGCCGCAGCGCAGCCGCCGCCTCTCGCAGCCGG